TTTAGGGTTTGGGGTTTGGGGTTTGGGGTTTAGGGGGTTCTATGTGGCTAAAACCAACCAAGAGCCCCCAAAGACTAAACAGTATAATTATGCCAAATAGCTCCCTAGAACTCAGTTGCGGTTCCAGTAAAGCGGAGAGAAAGAGATAGAGAGAGCGAGAGAGAGAGAGAGAGAGAGAGCGCGCGAACGAGCGAGCGAGGCAGAGACAGGCAAGGTGTGAGAAGCAGAGAAAGAGGGAGGGAGAGAGGAAAACAAGAAGAGAGATAACTTACTCCTTTACAACAGCAGCTTCAAAAGTCAATGCTTTATCCCATGAAGTGGAAACATGCGTCGTTTTGTGTTCCTCTGCTCCCACCCACGAGCTAAGACAACAAACGCGGCCGTTTTCACACCTGTGAAGCAAGAAGCCATTTCGAATAATAGTTGCCTTGTCCGAAGCTGGGGGTGGAACACCAGCGGGAACGAGCAGGATGCATGAAGACGCTCATCCAGCGTAAAGGGTTGCACTGCGAGGTTCATACATCACTTGGCTGCACTTAGGAGAGTAGCTAAAAATTAAACTTTTAGCTGCCTTATTAAGAAACCCAATAAACCCAAAAAGGCTAAAGATGTAAAGTTACAGTAAAGCACCACAAAGATCACTGGCACGTTCTTAACGGTTGGCCTTGCTGTCGCACCTTGAATTGGCCAGCAATGGTCTACTAGACCCAGGAGTAACCTGGTGCCCTTTTTGTTTTAAAGGACCCTACACCCTAAACCCTAAACCCTAAACCCTAAACCCTAAACCCTAAACCCTAAAGGCTTGTATGGGGGAACCCAAGACATAAAGCAGGGAAGATGGGGGCTACTCTGGGTCCTATAGCCTGGGAGCCGAGGGAGTCGTAAAAACTACCCCCCACACCCTTCGCAACTGAGACTTGGTAGCCCAGGAACCATTTTGCAATCAGGGCAACCCTTTTTTGGGCTATTTTATAAGGGAACCCAGAACAAAAAAAGGGTAAAGTATAATGAGGGCACCCTTTTTTGGGTTGGTTATTCTAGAAGGGAACCCGTAACCAAAAAAGAGGGTAAAGGGTACCAGTGGGCTACCAAGGAGAGAACTGCGCCTCTTGGTGCGACATCATCCAGCCTCTTCCCATGATCCTGTCGGAAAAGGACCGGGTGGGTCCAAGGCTTGGGGTTTAGGGTTTAGGGTTGAGGGGTGAGGGTTGAGGGTTGAGGGAATACTTCGCCTTCAAAGGCCCCAGGCTTAGGCTTAGGCTTTCTTCCAGCTTCAAAGGCCGGAGGAAGCTCTTATGGCTCATCGGGGCATCCGACTGCTTAGTTCTCCCTACTGCTGGCTCAAAGATCAAGGTCCAGTCTAGGCTGGGGAAATGGGGTGTAAGCAAACTCGCCAGTCGAGATCCGAACCCTACGCCATGTAAGACCTGAGCCTGTTAAGGCTCCAGAAGGGTTTGGAGTTGCCAAACCAGCTTAGTAGTGATGATCCGTGTTGATCTTCAAGTCGTCAACATAGCAGGTTAACAGGAAGTGTGACACTGCCACGCTTCCCCCGACATCAGATGAATCAAGACAACAAGATCGCGGCCCTGCCATGCGATTCTCAAGGTTGGCCGATGTCGATCTTCAACACCAACGTAACAGAATCGTGGCACGGCAGTGAAAGGAAAGAGGGCAGAAAGTACGAAAACCCTAATTAAACCCTAAACCCTAAACCCTAAACCCTTGAATGTCCTTTCAACTCAGCCCCACCAGTCCTCCACGATGCGCTCCAGGCGCTCAATGCGAGCAAGGAGGTCATCTGCGGCACCGCCCATCTTCACCACCCTTTGAAAATCCCTAAACCCTAATTAAACCCTAAACCCTAAACCCTAAACCCTAAACCCTAAACCCTAAACCCTAAACCCAAAGGCTCCTATGTAGTACCTTTTTGGGGTAGTATACTAGAACCCCCTATGACTAACCCAAAAAGGAACTACATTGGAGCCTTTGGGTAGAGTACCCGGAACTACTCGACAAACTGGGGGGCTCAGGGCTTGTAGGGTCTAAGGCGCAGGGGGTGCATCTCAACCCGGAAGCGTTGCAGCTACACCAAGGGCATCGGCGGGGCTTTGCCGCCGTGCAAGGAGCCCGCAACTTCAATGGGGCCTTGTGGAATTAGAACGGGACTTTTGCGCAATGTACAAAAGCAGTCATGTAAGGATTATAAAGGGGATAGCGTTGGAGCTATCTGGGAAGCTGAAGCACGTGAGGGCTTGGGCTTTGGGTCTTGGAGAGGTGAGCTTAAGCTGTTGAGGGACGGACGGATAGGGGCGGGCTTGAGCAAACACCTGGATCGGGCTTGGGGCTCAAAGGCTACAGGAAGCCACAAGCATGATTTTACAGCTGAAAGCAATAGGCTTCAAATTTTTGGCGCTATGGAGCAAGCCCCTCTATTCTGTTTGACAGCTTGTCCACGCCCCCGGTGAGGATATGTTGGGCTTCTGCTGTGTCTTGTAAAGCTTTGCTTGCATTCTTCAAGTTTCGAGTCAGAGTTCAAGCAGCGGGCTCCATGGGAGGTGGCGCCCTTCTAAGAGTAAGGAATCAAAAAGAGGAAGAACCTAGGACAGATCCAGTTTAAGAAAGGAAAGTATAGATCCTGGCCTCTGCATTCGGACTCTATACCTACGATACTCGTAGGGCTTGCCCACTTATCTGCTGGGATCCCCAGTTCCCTCACTCTCCGATCAAGTCAAGCCCCCAACCTAAACCCTAAACCCTAAACCCTAAACCCTAAACCCTAAACCCTAAACCCAAACCCTAAACCCTAAAGTTCAACATGAAGCCGCTGTCGCCATCTCCTACTCAACCTCCGGGCCGCAAGCGCGCAGTTCGGGACGTCAGGGTCTGCAATTCTTAGGGCTCCGGGTTCAGGACTTACTGTATAGGTATAGGGCTTGGGATTTCAGGGGTCAGGCCGAAACCCGAACCCAGAACCCATACAGTTTCAATCGTTGGCTTTTGCGCGCCTCCTGTAACGAGGCTCTACACTCCGAAACCCGTACCCTGAAACCCCCGAACCCGAATCCTGAACCCGGGGTTTAGGGTTTAGGGTTTAGGGTTTAGGGTTTAGGGTTTAGGGTTTAGGGTTTAGGGTTTAGGGTTTAGGGTTAAACTCCCAAACCCCCAAGCCTAACCCCCAAACTAAACACTCTGAGAACACCCTAGTCCCCGAAAGACCAATCAGTGAAAGGCCCGAGGCCCGAGGCTCCGGCTAACGCTCCATCCCACTCCTGGGCACCCAGGGCGGCACCCAACATCTGTCTCTTGAGCGCTAGGGTCAAGGGACTGAAGGAGGGACCCTTATGATGGATCGTAGGGGGTTATCTGGGGGGTTATTTGGGGACTACTTAGGTATATAGGGACTATTCCCAATAGGGGTATCCTAGGGACCTATTTAGTGAGTGTTTGTTTGCGGGTTTAAAAAGTCTAGAGCCCAGGGCCTAGCCACCTAGTTAGAATCTGTTTTGGGTTTAGGAAAGTAACTCCTGCTTGGCTATATTTACAGTTACAGGGGCACTGTGTTGGTTGATCTTCCGTCTTGTAGTTAGCTCACTGACTTAGCCTTGGCATCAAGGCACGCCCGGCTGCAAACGGCAGCCTCCAGGATCGTCGTGGTCGAAGCCTGCCACGGGGGCAGCTGGTTGCGCTGGGTTTAGGGTTTAGGGTTGAAGGGCATGCGCCAAAAGAACATGTGCACAGCCTCTACAAGTTCCCAAAGGTCCCCCCCCCCCCAGAAAGGGACTCCGAATTTCCGGAACCCCCTGAATATCTTCGAGAAAAAGAAGCTTGGCTGCACAAATCGGCATTGGGGTTTAGGGTTTAGGGTTTAGGGTTAGGGTTTGGGGTTTTAGGGTGCTTGGGGTGAGGCTTCACGGTCTTGTGGTTGGAAAAAAGCCCAGAAGACCAAGGCTGAAAACCGAAACGCAGTTGTGGAGAGAGGTTTCAGGGTCTTGGCTGGGGAGGTGCAGGGCAACGGAGGTTTGGGTGGGCTTGGTATCTGGCTTCGATCTCTAGAAGAATCGGGGCATCTTGCTTCAGTCTCGGCGGTTTGGAGTTAAGGGGGTCGGAATTGCTCTTGGGGAGTTGCAAGGTCGCTTAATAATCCGGGACCGCTCATATACCCCTTATACACCCTATACAACCCTAGGGCCCATAAATCAGAGGCCTTTAAAGAAGGTAAAGGACCAAGTTAAGGGCCCCTGAAACGTCCTGTAGAGAACTACAGGCCATGCAGGGCTTATGAGGACTACCCTGCGCATCAAGACAAGAGTGGTCTCGAAGCAACTTTTCAGTCGAGGGGGACAGCAAGACTGGTCAGAAAGAATGATAAAGACACTAGGTCTCCTCCACCCATGCAAAAAGATGCTCGTAATCTTTCCCTCGTGTTTAGCGACGAGTTTAAAACCGCACGCCCGCAGCAAGGGGGACCTAGTGAAACGGACTGCAGAAAAACTTCTCGGCCTGAAAAGTCTGATAAAGCAGTGGGGAAATGCTCTCGGCCCTTGTCCGGTCCCAGTCGAATGCGAATGTTCCTCTCTCCTCAGCGGACGAAGCAGGCCAGGCATTCCCCCACACCAACACGAACGATCGGCTTCTAAAAAGCCTTCGTTCCACTGAAGTCTACTTGGAGGTTTACGGGTACATGTAACCACAGCTATAAGTTTACTTATAACCTTGTTAGGGGACTTAGGGGGCTTATAAGTAAGAGATAGAATTAGGGTTATAAGTACCATGAACCTCCAAGAAGGCCGATGACAGCAGTGACTGTCGTGCGTGGATCACCGCGGGGGTCGACTTCTGAACTTGAAACAACGAATTTTGTTGATCAGTCGAGACTCCCTGAAAGGCACGATGGGGCCCAGAACCACAACCGGAAACCGAAACCCTAAACCCTGTAAACCCTGAACCCCATGAACCCTGAACCTCTCTCACTTGAAGCCTTCAACCTTCAACCACCCAACAAAATCTACTGGTCGCTGACACAATGTGGGCCAGCGCATCTGCGCAATGTGCCTGCTCAAGTCCCTCGACCGGCAAGCTGAAAGCTGTGTGCAAGCCCAAACCCAAGTAGTAGACAAATATATAAAATAAAAAACTGTACAAAAAGCATGGTGCAGATGTGTACTGCATCGGGCCACAAGCAATTCTTGCAGCCCTTGCAATGAAAAGGCCCAATGTCCGCCACCCACAATCAGGAGATCAGGGTCGACTGCTGTGCTAGGCGAGAATCTGTGATGTTTGGCATCACGCCAGGCACTGCATGCTCATAAATCATCAGGCCTAAGAGAAAATGAGGAGCTCCAGCTGCTTCTTGCTTTTGCGAACTTAGGGGCTTAATACCCCTGGCCTTCTATGCGTAAGAGGAGTTTATATATATATATATATATATAGATATATATATGCATATACAACCAAAAGAGGTTCAGGTTAAGTACCCAGCCCCTAAGTGAATCTTGTGGACTTCTTCTCACGTCTGGATCGACGCGCGGGCCACTGCTCGAGAACTAGGTTGAGAAAGTCTGCAACATCTGCTCGGGGGGCCGATGACAGAATGTGGGCGTCGTAGGCGTCCTCCCTGCCAGGGTCGACATTCACGTTCACAACCGTGAGTGGCCGCTCCTGCTGGTCCGTCCTCCTGAGGATTTCGAGCCACGTCTCATCCCCAAGGAACACGACGCAAGGCCGATGTTGGTCCTCCTTCTGGGAATTCATGAGAGCCGTCTTGAAGTCAACCCTGTTGTCAACCTCGATGGCGTCATGAACACCCAACATTCGAGCATGGAGGGCAAAGATGTAGCGTTGATAGTCTGGACCACCAGCGACGATGATGTCCATCTTCCCCTTGAAGGACTGTTCCGGGGGAATGCTCGAGGTCGAAGAGCGTGGAGCGACCTCCTCGCTCTTCGTGCCTCCGGAGCTAGAGGTGGGATCCGTGAAGCTCCGTTCTGGCAGCATGGCTCGAAGATGCTCGAAGAGTTCGGCAAGCGCGACTGGACTCAATAGGTCTGCTGGAGTCGTCCGCTGCCGTTATGAAAGTGCGAGCTCGAGGGCCGAAGATTGCAAAACACCGGTTGGCAAGTCAGCAGCGTACTGGGTTCAAGATCGGGTTGAGGGCATAGGGTACCTAGATCTGAGGTTGCAAAGTGCCCCTTCAGTATGTCGCAGGACCAGGAATTCACGTGCCCAAAACCCACAAACTCTCTCTCTTCTCTCCCTCAGTCTCCCCCTCGAAGTCGTTGTTTTGCCAAAACGGCACCACCCAGCATAGTCCCGGCTGAAACACGCCAACCCCAATCTGGCCTAAACCCTACACCCTACACCCTAAACCCTAAACCCTAAACCCTAAACCCTAAGCAAACAGAACCAGGCCCCGGGCGCAAGGGGCCAGCAAAGGCTCCAGCACCCGCATCGTCGAGGCCGAGATTCCAGTTTGCCAGGGCCGCCTGTTTCTAGGAACTTCAGGGGGTTAAAAGCCTAAAACCCTAAAACCCTTAGTCCCTGAAACCCTAAAACCCTAAAAAAACCTTGAAATCCTAAAACCCTAAAACCCTGAGCCCTAGCCCTATATAACCCTATGCTTAGGGTTTAGGGGTATGGGTTTGGGGTTTAGGGTTTAGGGTTTAGGGCTTAGGGTTAGGGCTTTCAGCGCTTCGGGGTTCGACAAAGGCGAATCACCAAACGGGCATTTCTTTGGAGCGAGTACAGCAGAAGGGACAAAAAATGATGGAAAGGGTTTAGGGTTCAGGGTTATTTAGGGGGGTTTAGGGTTTAGGGTTTAGGGTTTCGGGTTTAGGGTTTTGGGGGATGTAGGGATCGATAATCCCCTATTAACCCTACTTTGGAGTAGACCCTGGCAAAGAAGTATGTACGGTTTTAGGTACGAGTAGCTATAGTAGGAACCCAGACCCCAAAAAAGCATTAAAGTATAGTAATCCAAACCTAGTATGAGAGGGAACATCCCCAGCCTAAACCCCAAACCCCAAACCCCAAACCCCAAACCCCAAACCCCAAACCCCAAACCCCAAACCCGAAACCCCAAACCCTCTGCTCGCCTCTAGATCCACGCGTGGCGCAGCACGGTCTGATTGCACCGAGAGCACCTGCGACCTGCAGGATCGGTTTAGGGTTTAGGGTTTAGGGTTTGGGGTTTGGGGTTTGGGGTTTGGGGTTTAGGGTTGGGGGTTTGGGATTTGGGGTTTAGGTCTACAGAATATGCCAGGTCGATGAGGGCCCCCTGGGTCTCTAATTCGTGGCTTCTTGCAACGTGGCGGGGCCCTAAACCCTAACCCTAAACCCTAAACCCGAAACCCAAAACCCCAAAACAGCTACGGGAAGCCAACAAACACTCTTCCTGCACTGGGGCCATCCTGCCAAGAGCCTTTTGAGTTTAGGGTTGAGGCATTGGGGCTTCGGGTTTGGGATTTATAAGAGGGTTAGGGTTTAGGGTTTAAAATTCAGAATTCAGGGTTTAGGGTCTAGGGTCTGGGGTTTAGGGTTTAAGCGTGGGGCAGGGTTTCAGAATGCAACCGGAGGTGCACTTGCAACGATCCGAATGCAACTCGCACCAGGAACACTTTGGAGCTTAAATGAAAAAATCACAAAAAAATAGGGGTGGCACCCCTTTAAAAATCACAAACCTCAAAGAGAAAGCATAATCTGCTGAATAACCCCCCCCCCCCCCCCCACCCATTCGCCACCATTCGAGTGACAAGTGGGCGGGGGGGGGTGTGAGGGGGGAGGGGAAAGGAAAAAAAAAAAGCCCAGCAAACCCACCGTCAACCCTACAAACACACACACACACACACACCCACCCACACCCACACCCACACCCCCACACCCACACCCACACACACACACACACACACACACACACACACACACACACACACACACACACACACACACACACACACACACACACACACACACACACACACACACACACACACACACACACACACACACACACACACACACAGACACACACACCCACCACACATCGCACACACCACACACACCACACACACAACACACACCACACACACCACACACACACCACACACGCCACACACACACACACACACCACACACACACACACCACACATCGCACACACCACACACACCACACACACCACACACACACACACACACACACACACGCACCCGATGAGCCTCACATCTTAAGCCCGAAAGCTCTGCTGTGCTGAGGCCCGCGGCTGTGCCAGCCGCAGCAGCGCTGCGAACACTGCAGGGCTCAGGGCTGAGGAGCTTTTGGGGCTGAGGGGCTTTTGGGGGTTGAGGAGCTTGGGGCTGAGGATTCCGGATTTAGGTTTTGGGCTTTGGAGCTTTTGAAAGCTCTTAGTGGAAAAGGAGCCCAACTCTTCGAGATGCCGAGTGGAGACACGCTGCCTAGAATTTCCATGTGAGTTGATGCAGGGACCCCCTAAACCCAAAGCCTCAAGCCCTAAAGCCCTAAAGCCCTAAGCCCCAAGCTCTAAACCCTAAACCCTATAGACCCTATAGACCCTAAACCCTAAACCCTAGGCTCATGCAAGAATCGTCCGCTGGCAGACGCACTGTGGGTCGGGGCCTTACTCGCACATGGGTTTAGGGTGTATGGGTTTAGGGTTTAGGGTTTAGGGTTCCAAATTTGACGGAGACGAAGCTCCATGATGGCAAAAACCCACATAACCTGCATACCGATCTCCAGAGACATTTCTGCCCAACCCCGGGCCGGCGCTGGCCGACAGCTGCAGCACCCTCCTGGGAACGGCTTCTGGGGTTTCTGGCTGGTTGGGGAATCAGGGAATGAGGTACCCTACATAAACCCCGTATATATATATATATATATATATGTGTGTGTGTGTGTGTATCTTCATATCCCCTTTATAAGAGATTATAGAGGGTACCTCATTGCCCATTCCCTACTAAGAACCAGGGGGGTTTAGGCTGGGCCCTCCGGCAACTTTGAAATACTCAAGGAGCCCTTCAGTGCTTGGAGGCCCTGCTTTCCCGAGCCAACACAAGCCAAATTCAGCTCCACGACTTCCACTCTGGCCCGTTGGGGTGGGGAGGGGGGGTGGGGGGGGGATGAGTTTTGGAGAGTTGATTACAAGTACACAGGTAGAGCAAAAGCATCGAAAATGGGGGGGGGGGGGGGGGGGCAACGGGGCACCTCAAGGAGTCCTAGCCGTAGAGGCGCCCAGACAAAAGGGGCGAAGTGAGGGGAAGCTGCTCATGCTCGGTTCAGAGTTTATAGGGGCTCATATGTGAGAGCGTACAGGGTTTATAGGGTATTGCGTGGCTACTATACCACAAACGAAGATTGCGGCCTCGTCTAAACGAAGCCTGAGAGGTGGAGGGTGGAATCAGGCTTCATTACTAGGAGGGCTTAGGCACACACAATATTTACAGGAGGGCTTACTCAAAGGCTCCTGTGTAGTTCCTTCTTGGGTTAGTTATAGGGGATTCTAGTATACTTACAGTAGGGCTTCCTCAAAGGCTCCTGTGTAGTTCCTTTTTGGGTTAGTTATAGGGGATTCTAGTATACCCCAAAACCCTCAACAGCCCTACATCCTTCAACCTCACGGGCAACTTTCCGGGGGCCTCTGTGCATTGGATGCCTGAACCTGCTAGAAGAGGCCCCCCTAAACCCTAAACCCTAAACGCTAAACCCTAAACCCTAAGCCCTAAGCCCTAAGCCCTAAAACCTCACAGCTGCGTGTAAGGCGGGCGTCATCGATGCCACGGAATGGCGGATCAGGCCCCATGCTGGGCCCGAACCCTCTAAGGATTCCTAAAGCCTGAACCCTTAAGGGTTTAGGGTTTAGGGTTTAGGGTTTAGGGTTTGGGGTTTGGGGTTTGGGGTTTGGGGTTTGGGGTTTGGGGTTTGCGGTTTAGGGTTAGGGTTTAGGGCATGGATTGGGGTTTACAGGGCCTCTTGAACTTAAAGCTTCCCTAGAAGGTTTTCGGTTTGGGCTCAGGGTTTATACAGGGTCTCTTTGAAGCTCCCCTACAAATAAGGCGTTCATCGGCTTGGAGGTTGGCTGTGGTTATGTGGGGCTGGGGAGTGCTTATTCCACTGGGCTACCGCCTCTAAACATGCAAATTATGCTTCCACACCCCCCCTTATAACTCTAAAGACAACCAGCAAAATCTCAAATCATGTTCAAGCCTGGTCTTGTTTAAGCTTCTTGCAGGTCCCTAAACCCTAAGCCCTAAGCCCTAAACCCTAAACCCTAAACTCTAAACCCTAAACCGTGGGGTCTGGGCAGTCTCGGGGAGAGAATCACGTCCTTCCATCAGCTGCTGAGCCTAGCCAGATACGAGGTGCTGCGATACATAAAAAAACCCTACACTGTACCCTGCCCTAAACCCTAAACCCTAAGCCCCCAACCCTAAACCCTAAATTCCAAATTCCCCCCCCCCCCCCCAAAAAAAAAAAAAAAAAAAAAAAACTTATTCTACAAAGGAATTCGGGTCCAGATATGAGTATTTCCCAACATAAAGTCCTCCTGGTCCCTGATATACCCCAAAATGCTATAATCCTTGATGAGGAACCCCCCCAACAAGGGTACCCCTATCTTCGGAAACCCGCATATAATCGCCCTAGGCCCTAAACCTTAAACCCTAAACCCTAATCCTATCCTTTAAAGGTCACTCCAAGCCCTCGATTTTTTGGGTCCCTTGCAGTTAAGCTTCAAGGTCAATTCCGCGCCCTGCTTGGGATGCGTTTAGGGCTTCGGGTTTAGGGTTTTATCTGCTTAGGGAGGTTCAGGGCTTCGGCTGCAAGGTAGGGGAAAGCGATGGTTCAAAGGAGTAGAGTTTAGGGCTTAGTTAACTTAGGGTTTAAGGTTTAGGGCTAATTAGGGTTTGGGGTTTCGGGTTTAGGGTGTAGGGTTTGGTGTTGGGTGTCTGGCTCGCCGTGTCTAGGGCTCAGGGTTAGCACTTGGCCCCACAAGACCCAGACTTTTCAGCCCAGCTCCGCATCGACATCTCATTGGCGTCTGGCAGCATCGCACGTCCCAAGTGTTTTAGTTCTAAGGTCTAGGGGTTTAGGACTTAGGGTTTAGGGCATGGTTTTTGGTGTGTTGAGTTTGTAGGTATTTGGCTCAGGGTCTTGTAGGGCTGGCGCGGTACTGTGTTTGTTTCTCCAGGGGGATCACCAACAGGGGCAATCTGGTTTAAGCTTTATCTACACTGTCTCGCTGTGTCTGTTCGGCGAAACCTCTTAACCCTAAACCCTAAAACCCTCTCAACCCTAAACCCTAAACCCCTAAGCCCCTAAACCCAAAACCCTAAACCTTCCAACCCTAAGCCCTAAGAACCCAAATCATCTTAGGGTTGTCGGGCTTTACGGTTTTAAGGGTTTCTGGGGTGTAGGGTTAAGGGTGGCTTTAGGGTTGAGGGTTGCGGTGGCTTAGGGCTTCAGGGTTTAGGCGGCCCTAAACCCTAAACCCTAAATGAGGGTTCGGGGGTTCAGGGTCTAGAAGCCACAAGCGAAAGCTCCGGGTTCAGGGTCTAGGTCTCGGGAGGTTCGGGTTTAGGGTTTAGGGTTTAGGGTTCAGGGTTTAGGGTTTAGGGTTTAGGGTTTGGGGTTTGGGGTTTAGGGGTTTAGGGGTTTAGGGGTTTAGGGGTTTAGGGGTTTAGGGTTTAGGGATTAGGGATTAGGGTTTAGGGTTTAGGGTTTAGGGTTTAGGGTTTAGGGTTTAGGGTTTAGGGTTTAGGGTTCAGTTTTCACAACTTAGAGGGGTGGCAGAGTGAGCTTGCCTTGCTACCTAAAGGCTCCAATGCAGCTCCTTTTTGGGGTTAGTTCTAGGGGTTTCTAGTAGAAGGTACTACATAGGAGCCTTTGGGTTTAGGGTTTAGGGTTTAGGGTTTAGGGTTTAGGGTTTAGGGTTTAGGGTTACCACTGAGCCGTGCTGCTTTGTCATGCCAGCTCGTTTGCCTTGCGGGCCCTGAAGCCCCAGACCTGGACCTTTGAACCGAAACCCCGAAAGAAGCTGAGCCCCAAACCCTAAACCCCAAACCCCAAACCCTAAACCCTAAACCCTAAACCCTAAACCCTAAACCCTAAACCCTAAACCTTACAAGGCCGGCCGGGCCCAGCTTCTACGGAAACGCAGCCCTCTTTGGGCTGGCAGGGAAACGACCTCCAGGGAGTGGTGCGCCCGACTCATTGTTCTGAGTCATGCGGAAGCACGTAGGCGTTTAGGGTTTAGGGTTTAGGGTTTAGGGTTTAGGGTTTAGGGTTTAGGGTTTAGGGTTTAGGGTTTAGGGTTTAGGGTTTAGGGTGTAGGGTCTGTTCCAGGATTCCAGGATGGCTATGAGACAATGGGCCTCTTGAAGGGGTTATGGGGTCCAGTATCCTGGCTTGGGAGTGCAAGACGGCGCGGCGCTCATCTTGTGCCGACCCCTTCGCTGGTATTGTTCCGGGCAACCTGATATCCTGCAACATCGTGCTCCCGCAGTGCAAGCTTCATGAAGCGCGGCGCAACGCAACACTCCCGGACACACATTGGGACATTCTCATCAAGTTCGCATTTGTGGACTGTCGGGGTCACGAGAAGAATAGAAAACCAAAGACCGCCTTTGCACGCAACCAGGGGTCCGGGGCTCCGGGGGTGAGCAACATATCCTGGTGCACAGGACGCAAACCGCAAGGAAACCTGTTACGGGTAATCAAAAATAGGGAATGGACAACAAGTCTTACTATGTCCGATCGCATGCGCAAACAAGCTGCCATCTGCCTTCAGCAATCTCAGGCCAGGCAAGACAGCAGCAACGTGCAGGGGAATTGTTTCATTGGTTGAATTGGTGATGGACCACGAACAATCCGAACCCTGTGGCGTTCTTCGGAATCAAGCTGTGCACAGCCTCTCCGCACACTGCGCCTCACTTGTAAACGTACTGCTCTGCGACCTCGTAGATGATCTTCCAATCCTCGGCATGTCAGAACAAACTTCTCCTCCAGCTTCGGAATCTTGGCCGGTTTCAAAGTGAAGTCCGAATTCACCCTAAACCCTAAACCCTACACCCTACACCCTAAACCCTAAACCCTAACCCTAAACCCTAAACGCCTGATTCATGGACCTGATCAAGTGCCACCAAGAAGCCCAGATCACAGGGGTGATGCCCATCATGGTTAGGAGACACAGGACGATGCCTCTCCTGCCTTTGATTCGCCTTGGACCCGTGGCAGTGGCAGCTTGCATGTATTTAGGGTTTAGGGTTTAGGGTTTAGGGTTTAGGGTTTAGGGTTTAGGGTTTAGGGTTTAGGGTTTAGGGAACGTAGCTACCATCATTGCACGCTACCAGCCACTACGACGTTCCCACTGCAGAATACTACCGAGCCTGCCTCGGTGACGCCTGCAAAGCTTCGCAACACTCGTTGCGCAAACGCGTGGCGAACGCAGCAACGGTTTAGGGTTTAGGGTTTAGGGTTTAGGGTTTAGGGTTTAGGGTTTAGGGTTTAGGGTTTAGGGTTTAGGGTCTAGGGTCACTGCCACAACCACCACAACAACGACGACCCTCACTAGCATGGTTATCAACAGGACTGTGCTGAGTGCAGGCGACGGGTTGTCCGGGCACTCTCACCCAACAACCCCGCAATCCCAAAGAAGCTCACACCCTCAAACCGACCCTCCTAGCAGACATCGAGGCTAACCTAACTATAGCGAGTCCGTGGAGTTGCGGACCAGGGCCAACCGGTTTTTGTCATCTTAACACTTAATCCATACCAGGATGGGCTGTTGGGCCCTATAATCCCCATAATCAACCCGATAAAAGGGCGTTTGTTTAAGGGGTCATGGGCTAGAATAGCTCATCCTGGTATGTCTTTTCTGAGTGGCGTGAACAGGTTCATGGCGAAGGAGACAAGAAAGCCTTGGCTGTCTTCTCGACCCTAAACCCTAAACCCTAAACCCTAAACCCTAAACCCTAAACTTCTGGGAGGATCCAATAAATAGATCCCCTTAAGGATTCCTAAGAATGACCCAGTATAGGGTACTATTTGGGGGTTCTGTTTTTTGGGTCCTCCCAGGGGTCTGGGGATTCGGACTCTCGGCTGGCCCTTCAACCCTCTGACACAAATATGCCTAAACCCCACAGCATCAAACCCTAAACCCCACACCCCTGAACCCCCTGAACCCCCTAAACCCCCCTAAACCCCCTAAACCCCCTAAACCCCCTAAACCCCCTAAACCCCCTAAACCCCCTAGCCGAGTCGGGGTGGTTGGCCGAGCTCCACTGGGCCGCTCCGGGTCTCTGGGGCTAGGGTTTAGGGTTTCGGGTTAGGGTTTAGGGTTTAGGGTTTAGGGTTTAGGGATGGAAACCAGAGGATGCCCCCCTTAAATTTGCTTGCTTAGGGTTCAGGGGTAGCTCTCTACTAAACACTCGGGTTGAGGGTTTAGGGTTTAGGGTTCAGGGCTTAGGGTTCAGGGTTTGTAAGGGAAAAGTGGGTTGTGGGGTAGCTTAAGGAGCAAATGGGCTCTGAAATGGGCACGATTTCGGCGAAGCTACTATAGGACCTATTCAGGCTAATGGGCCGGCAACCCTTCTAGGGGTTCATTTTTTTGAATCCCCCGAGATAAGGGCTAGGATATGGAGCTATTGCAAGTAAAGCCACCTGAGCGCGAGCTTCTGCGACTGTGACTTATCCTATGTGTACGACCCTTGCTAAGCTAACGCAAACCCCACATTGAACACTACTATGACTGCTGTAAAAACTCTAAACTGTCTAGCGCACGCCTTAAACGAAACCATCTTGGTTCTGGAAGCCATCCCCGTTCGGCGCTTGGGCATTTAAAGCCGATTCCTAGGAAAGACGTGGGAAGACCTTATTCAGGTGGAGGAAAATATCAAACATGCCCTAAACAAGACACCCCAAACCCCCTAGAAACCCAAATCCTAAACCCCCAACCACCCTAAACCCTAAACCCTAAACCCTAAACCCTAAATCCTAAACCCTAAACCCTAAACCCCAAACCCCCAACCCCTACAACTTCGGCATGAACGAGCTTAGAGGCTGTGCATGGCGATGATGAGGCTCCAAAAAGCACGGAGTCGAAACCTGCAACTTTCGGTCTCAGAGTTCAGGGTTTAGGGTTTAGGCTTTATAAGGTAAGGGTTTAGGGTTTAGGGTTTAGGGTTTAGGGTTTAGGGTTTAGGGTTTAGGGTTTAGGGTTTAGGGTTTAGGGTTTAGGGTACCGTTTACGGTTTAGGGTTGAGGGTTTAGGGTAAGCTGAGCGTGTAGAAAAACAACAATCCTGAATCATGAAAACAAGAGCAAACACTTCAAACGACTAACAATAGCAAATGAACTTCGCCCAAGTACTCCTGGCACACCCTAGCAATCTATCTCGACGAGCCGTAATTTTGCAGCAACAGCCGGCGCAACATGGTTGGCTAAGGAGAGCAGCTTTTTGTTTTCTAACCCCTAAACCCTAAACCCGAAACCCTACGTGCTATTGATAGCTGAAGATTGCGCAACGCCCAAAGGCCTTCCCGTCAGGAATCGCGCGTTTTCTTTACAAAATGTGAGTAAGCCCATACCCTAAAACCTAAACCCTAAACCCATTGAGGCACTTTGGGCTCAGGCCCTAGTAGGATTCGCGCCTCTTATGCCTTCTGTGGGGGAACCTCATGGTCTGCGTTGATGGCTTGGGCACTCGTCTTCTGCAACCCCGGTTGTTTTTTGGGTTGAGGGTTTAGGGGCAGTTAGGGTTTAGGGTTTAGAGGTTTAGAGGTTTGGAGGTTTAGAGGTTTAGAGGTTTGGAGGTTTAGAGGTTTAGAGGTTTAGAGGTTTAGAGGCTTAGAGGTTTAGAGGTTTAGAGGTTTAGAGGTTTAGGAGGTTTAGAGGTTTAGAGGTTTAGAGGTTTAGAGGTTTAGAGGTTTAGAGGTTTAGAGGTTTAGAGGTTTAGAGGTTAGAGGTTTAGAGGTTTAGAGGTTTAGAGGTTTAGAGGTTTAGAGGTTTAGAGGTTTAGAGGTTTGGAGGTGCAGAGGTTCAGAGGTTTAGAGGTTTAGGGATCCGCATCTAGGGCTTGTGCCATCGGATTCCCTGAACTTTTGAAACCCCAACCCTGCACACCCAAACATCCCTACTAAGCCCTAAACCCCTAAATCCCTAAACCCCTACAGTCCCTGAGGATTCAAAGCGTCTGCCTTACCAGCCTTACCACGCGTGAGTATCCCCTTTAAGGGTTTAGGGTTTAGGGTTTAGGGTTTAGGGTTTATACCCCTTCAAGGCGGTATGAGGGGTACAGTGCCTTCTGCCCTCATTCCCGAGAAAGAGCCCGCAAGTTCCGGACGGTGACCGGTGATTGACTGCCCCTTAAAGAGTTTCACGGGTTCTGTGAGGGAAGGGGGGCGGGGGGGGGGGTAAGAAACTTAAATCAACAATTCCCCATTAGGAGTTGCTGCTGCTGAAACAGCAGCTCCACATTTTAAGGAACCCGCAAGGCATTTTTTGACTTTCTTCTTGGATCTTGCCAGCTCGGCGGAAACTCAGGACGTACCCAAGCAAGCTTGTGGAGCATTGCGGACCCAGGCGTTGCCACAGTTTCGCACAAGCAGGCATTCCGCGAACAAACGGTGGCCAGCTTTGTTCTCCCCACTGATCGTAAGGTAGGGGCCGCTCTCTTTGCCACGCCGTCATTAGCTACAGCTTGGGTGCTGAAGGCCACCCAGGGTTTCTGGGATAGATCAACCCTAAACCCCCAGATCACCACAGCTTCTGGGGCTTCCTTTCGAGCTTCAGAGGCAGGAAGAGGCCAGGACTCCCAGAACCTGACCCCAAGATCCAAACAGGGGGTTTGTTTGCCTTTTTTTGCAGCTCTTGGGTGCTGCTTGGGTAGTGCTTGGGTTTCGGGGCAGTTCTTGATCTTTGGTTTAGAGCCTAAACCCTAAACCCTAAACCCTAAACCCGAAACCCTCAACCCTCAACCCTAAACCCTAAACGTTAACTTTTTTTGTGGGCTTTCTGGGGTTTGGCCATGGAAGTGGCCGGGCCTGGCCGTGGCTTGCTGGAAGAGGTCGTACGAGACATCCTCTCAGGCAAAAGCTCCAATAGTCATTTTTCAAGCACCCAACATCAGTATGAAATATATATATATACATATATATATATATATATGCATGTATCTATGTATATGTACATATGTGTATATACATATGTATATATACATATGTATATATATCTGCTACCCACCACCCCCCCCAGCGACCTACCCTTTTTAGGCCTTTTTAACAAAAAAGAACAACGAAGGCCCAAAAGTCGCGTTGTTAATCACCGGCTAGTGAAGGACAGTTATTGGGACACCCACGTCACAGGCCCCGATAAGCCAGCATCGGATTAATTATTTTGAAAATGAAGCGGACAATGCTGTTTTTAGGTTTTTAGATCTTTTGTGTTTTCTAGGCAAACTGTGTGTTGAAAGGGCAAATATTATTTTGTTGAGC